ACCAGACACACCACCGCCGCTACGTCCGCTATCTCCGAATCAGGTTTCATTGCAGGACATTAACCTGCTTTATAACACACCTTCCTAACGTGTTTAAGCAGAACTCTGAGAGAAGCAAACATCTGTACTTGACCTACAGGGTGATGAAAGAAAGCACTGGAGAAGATGTTCTAGTATCAATCAAAACTGAAGTCTACTGGGATTATTTTCAACTCAGCCTCCTCAGGCTCCCATAAGCTTTTCTGCTGTAGCTCCCTCTACAACCCTTCCTACTTTCAGTTGTCAACTAGAGCAGGGAGCCTGGCTGTGAAGGCAGCCCACTGCAGGCCCACGTCGGGTGCCCAAAATGGGGGCCACCCTAACAGCTTTCGGGGAGAGAGGCAAGCTTCCAGCAAGGCTGAGAACCAGCTCCCTCCAAAACCGGATTAAATAAGCACAGCTGTGTCTACGTGTATGAAGAGCAGTAGCAGCGGTAAAATAATCTGAAATTTCCCAATCAAGATCTTGTTTCTTAACATAAAGCTCTAGCAGATGGAATCACAGAATGTTAGGGGTTGGAAGGAATCCCTGGAGATTGCAAGATCCCTGTGAAGAACAGATATAAAATTTGAAGGGAAAACTAACAAAAAGAAAAGAAATAATGAAGAGAAGTACAGAGCTTAAAAAAACACATGACAACTGAAAACCAGGAAGCGAGAGGCACCAACAAACACGTGCAATTACAGAAACAGCTTCAAGGAGGACTTGGAGTGGGACATTCCACCACTGTTAGTGAGCAGCTACAAGACTCCCTGATAAAGAGCTCATTTATCATTTCCCATTTGGAGACTAGAAATAAGAAGCAGCAACCATGACCAGGGGGTGCAGTTTCTTCCCAACTGGCACTGAGCAAACTGGGAGGTGAATAATGAACAAGGCAGGAGGTTAGAGACAGAGCTGAGAGTAAACCTGGAGAAGGCACAAGACTTAGTCTTCACCTACACAAGGCAGAATCTGAACAGACTTAGTCAAACATCTACTTGCTGACTTAAATATAGTTTTGTGATGAAGCACAGCCTGTGAACACGCAGCTAAAGACAATTCCAGGACTGTTGCAACTGGGTATAATTAAGGGTGAGTGGACAATTTGCCTTCTGGCATTTGCCTGCTGTCACATGCTGATTTCAAAATTTAAATATTTTGAGCATTTCATCTAACAAAGCAGTAAGAATTTGGAGCTGGCATTACTTGCTAGGCTGCACAAAGCAAAAAAAGCACAGAAGACAACAGCAGGTGAGGAAGCAAAACAAAAAGGGCTGCAAGTATCTTTTAAAGCACAAGACCCAACTTAAAAAATACAAACAAAAACCTGCAAAACTTCCAAATGTGTCCTCAAGTCCTCCAAGATCAGTCTGTGAAGTTCACATAAAGCCAAGCACCTCCAAGAGACAGGAGCACAGCTGATTAACCCATGAGACAGAGCACACTGCTGCACACTCCTTACTTGGAGAAGGCATTGCAAAGGGAATTTCAGCATAATGGTGACAGCCAAAATTAAAAAAATGCCCCAGAACAAAACCCCACTATCATACATCCCACACTTCCAGTTCTACTTTCAAATGATCTGGATTAAACTCGCCTTAGGCCACTGGGAGTTTTTTCAGTGACAAAAGCAAGTTTGCTTGCTTACTTGACAAATTATCCCAGTTCCTCACAAAAAAGAATAAGAAATATTAGAAATTTAAAGGTAAACCACGGCTCGATTTCCTCTGCACACACAAGCTGCTTAAGCAAATGCTATTGGTATTTCAGCTCCACTTCAGAAGGCAGCTACGAACAAAACCCAGCGCTGCCTTTGATCCCGCGTGCCAAAGCACTGCTGCCTCCTCCAGTTTTCATTAATTTACCGCAACCTTAGCAGGCCAGCTAATGTGAGCACAGCCAAAGAAAGGACGGCATCTCATATTCAATAACTCGCTTCAATTAATTCCTAATTAATTAATCAACACCCTATTACTAGTAACTCAATACCTTCATTTAACCTTACAATATCAGGTTACCCATGCAGGATTCCTCTGCAATGGAACGTAACTCTCTCTGAGAAAAATTCTCCTGCTTGTAAAGCTCTGCAGTTTCACCCACCTCAGAAGATTTTCTGATGGACTGCAGATCAAACACTACCTGGAGCCCAACCTTTAACAGCCATTTTCATTTTGTTTGACTATATGGTGTATGTATTTCCAGCTATGTATCTTCAAAATGCAAAAAATAAAAAAATAAAAAAAAAGAGAATGTTGAAGCAATAAACTCCATCTCTTAGAACTAGACAGCCTGAACGTGCTGGAAGAACGCAAACATACCTTCACATATTCTCGCTGCAACATGAATTTTATAATATCTGTTATCGATTCTTTGATGTCTGCAGGAAGCGTCTACAGGAGAAGAAAAAAAAAAGGATAAAAAAAGACATCTTTACTTCAGAAGAGCACCTCAGGAAAATCATCCTACTCAGCATTTATACAAAGTTTAGTACCTACCCTAGCTTGAGGACTTTAAGAAAGGAGAACATCTTTTGTTATTTAGATGAAGGATCTGAAGCAAGAGAGGTTAAGTGGTTACACCTAGTAGCTAGTGGCAAAGTGCAAAACACAATCTCAATTCTCCACTATTTTTGCAGGTGATACATTAAGCAACACCTGGAAAAGCAGTGGGTAGGCAGAAGGATTCGCGATAAAAAGGTCAGAACTGCGAGTCAGGGGCTCTAGACACAGAAATTCTGATCAACTCATCCTCTCCTCTTCAGTGGAGGTAACAGTATCTCAGGAAGGGGCACTAACCACTGGGTGCTCTGAAAGCCGAAGTTACAGCAAGTCTTACAGGACAGTGACATTTAAAAGCAATTCACCCTTTTCCGAAGTTTTCTGAAAAGTGGCCTCAGGTACGACTCTGTCTGCTTTTGCGTGGCACTGCTCAGCTTCCCCTGAACTCCCCGCTTCACGTAGTCTTCTCTGGCGTTCAGCTCCTTGGCCCAAACTCCAAGGAGAAACTGTGGGAGGAACAAGCAAATTTATGTCACAGTGCCACCTACTGACAAGCCCGCCAAAACAGATGGGAACGGCGGTTTGAGCCACCGTGGCAAAATGAGTTTTTCGGAGAAATCTGAATTAAAAATGCAAGAAGCCACTTGTAGAGCAATAGGCAAGGAGGGAGATGAGCAACCTCTGCTATCATAAAAGCACGCAGGCGAGGAAAGAAGCACATATAAAAAGGTGTGTACAAGGAAGCAGCAGTGTAGGTGTGAGCGCTGGGAAGCAGGAGGGTCTATAAAAAAGAACAGAAATCTCAGTAGATTGCTGATGTTTCAGAGTAGCTTTTGACGAGCCTAAGGAACAGTAAAAATCACAGTGAAAATCCAACACAACAGAGAGCAGACATGTCAAATGTCCCTTCTCTCCATCTGGAAATCAATTTTTGAGCTTTCTTTGTCTCACTGCCCAGCCCAAACCACACTAAAATGCCAATGGGCAATGACGTGCACAAATGAAAGCTTCAGCTCTGGCTGTGACTTCTGATCATCACAACAGTTACACAAGGACCAGTTGACTCAAAGGAGAGGCCGTGCACGCTTCTTGCCAGGAAACAAGGAAACAATTCTCTACCATCCACTTGAACCTGTTTCCTTAGCAAAGCCAGCAGACTTCCTTTAGAATTCTCCTCTTTCACACACGAGTACCAGGCGACACTTCATTTCAGCTCGCCCTGTGCCTGGGGAAGGGAGCAGGGACCCGGACGCTTTCAGTGCCAGAGTAGGACATCAAAGCCACCTGATACAACTGCCTTAATTATCGTATGGAAATCAAACCCAGATTTATTTTGTCTGGAAAAGCAGGACCAGATTTTGAAGAACGTTGCTCTCTCAACAGCTTTTTCCCAGGTCTAGGAGAAGTCACTACTGTGACTAACCACGCCTGTGGAGTGCCAAGCATTTAAAAAACCCCACTTTTTAAGCATAATTTGTGAGTTTTTTCTCTCCAAGCAGCTGAAACCATCCCTTCTAGTCCTGAAAGGTATCTGCAAGATAGTAAAATATATGACACAGCTACAGAACAATTAATCTATTAGAATTTGTTACCTTCAAGAACTTTGTTATGATGTCCATATCATAGTGATCATCACCCTGCCCTAAGGATTCTCCCAAAGCCTGGAACAGGAGGAAAAAAAAAGCATTTATTTCCACATTGTCTTCAAGTTTGCCAACCCCACCACAGCAGACGGTAATAAACTGTACCTGAAATCCAAAACACTAGTTGGGAAACGTAACGAAACGGCTATCTAAGCTACTGGGATTCATTAATCTATTAAAAACATTCAAGTCAAAAAGCCAGTATGATTATTTCTGAAAAGTCAATGCAGCAGTAATTTTTCATTCATTAACTACTGAATTATTGGCATAATTAGCAGCTGTCTGACAGCATGGCATTACGGGGAACTGTGGGTGCACTGCATGTTTTGAGATTTCCAAAGCTATCGACTATTTTGTCAAGCTATTTCAATCCTCTGATGGACTCGAGCTTTTTATCACTTCTTTTCATTGTGACTGTGAAGTTGAGAAAATAAGTCTTAAAAAAATAAAAACCACCTAAAATCCCCAGTACTATGCTCCAATACTCTAGCTTCCTACCAAAATCTCAAATCTGATAGTATTAACAGCTATTTTTAGGAATTTTAGAAACTTTTCCTGTGGAAATCCATAAAAATATGGATTTATAATCTATTGCCATTGTCCTTCACATTTCTAAAGTGAGTTTTATTTTAAAAATCTCCAAGTTTTAGTACTTAATTCAGAGTAAGGCTTCATGTTCAAGGGAATACAGTTAGAGTAGCATAAAATTAAGTCTTCAGTCTAAGTTTTTCAGAAAACGATTGCTTTCATGGCTCACACCAAGCCTGCCCTACAACCCCAAAAAGAGGTATTTGGAGACTTAAGAGATGGAGAAAATGCAGCCCCATTACAGCAGGTACCCATTCTGATACTACAGTTATTTTAAACCAGAATCCCTGGCACCCTAACAAAAAAGCCAAAGATTTGTCTCCTAATAATGCATTTGTTCAAGCTTTCATTTATAAATCAGATTATTTCCTAAAAAACACTTTCAGAGGGATGTTATGAAGATTAACTCCTGGCAAAGAGTTTTGAAGATTAAGGGTAAAAAGTCTTCAGCTCAAACTAATGTGCTTTTCAAAACACTACCCTAAAATCCACTCATCCCCCACTCACACAGATACCACGACGGTTTTCTTTCAGAGCGCAGTAGCCACTTGCACTGAAGTTTCTGGGACACATAATTTCTGCACTTGTATTTCCTGCAAACTTTCTGATGGCCACTTCTTCTTGTGTCCTCCACGTTTTAGCAAACATTCTTCCTTTCAGTCTATTTTCCAGAGTCCATCTTTCT